GAGAGAGAGAGAGAGAGAGAGAGAGAGAGAGAGAGTAATGGAATTGTTTTGCTAATTTGAGATTGGAATTTCATTCAGTTTTTTCGTTTCTTTTCACTTCGTTCCTTTATTTTACATCCTTGCCTTTCACTCTCTTCTCTTATTTTCTCTTTTCTTTACTTTCCTTTTTTTTGAGTGACATGTAAACTTAAATAGATTCTCATTTTTTTGAATCAAGAAAAGAAAACTGAAGTGAAGGATTAAAAATGAAAACATATCAGCTTACCTCGTCCATAAGAAAGCTCAAGGATAATCACGAGTATTATCCCAAGAACAACAAATCTACCGTTAGAGAGCATCGTCCACTAATATAGCCCTGATTGAATACAGGCTTTTACATACTCCGAATTCATAGTTTAATAACATAAATTCAAATACGTTGTTAGTTAAACAGATGCTTTGCTGACTAAACAGTGTTCATTTTTGAAGCAAATATTGAGCAACTAAATGACAAATAAAAGAGTAATAGAGATGAATATTTGAACTGAATGAGTGATGGCTACAACACTTATTGATTTTCTTCTAACATTCGTGGGACAAAGACAAAAAACCCCAGATTTTGTACAAAAAATCAAAACAGTATTTTACATCCAAGTTGGAAACGCGTATAGAAAGAAAAAGGCGGGAAACTTTGACTTCTCAAATGGTACACGCGTCTACCGGAAGAACCGAAAAGAACGGGAAAAGTGGACTACCTCAGTCGTAAGACCGTGTTTTCTGGAACTTTTCGATCGGAGGAAATGATACATACATTTGTTTTCTAATCGGAATTTCCACTTTTTCCAGATAAATGATAGCATCGATCCCTACATGGCTAAAAGCTTACTTCTCGAGTGTTCTCTCAACGTCACGCGTTATTAGATCAGAATATTAAAAACGAAAAACTGTTTTTTTAAATATTTATTTATGCTAACAAACAAATTGCTAATCTATTTGGTTAACTATCATTTTATACTTTTTTTTAAACAATATTATTTGAAATTGTATTTAACAAAAAAATTTTCATCAGTTTAATGTCTCAAGCGCGATAGGCCATTTTAAATATTTCATATCTTATTCCTCTGGGGATTTTCACTATTTCTCCTAATATTATTATACTACAATTCTTTATCAAAATTTTGTAGTACAGTTAAAGACTCAACTGATTTCGGATTTCTTGGCATTGAAAACAATATATTTTACGTCAATACTAAAAAAGCTTTTCTTACCACTGTTTCTATTGGTTTGTTTTTTATACCCTTATGTATAGCATCATCAACATCACCACCATCATCATCACCATCATCATCATCATGTTTCTCATGTACGACGACCACCATCATCATCATCATCCCTTTATCACAATCATAGCGCCCATTGCCATCGTCATCATTATCACTACTACCTTCATCATGACCACCATCATCATTATCACCATAATCACTATAATCGCCATCACCATCATGTAGCATCATTACCATCAACATCATCACCATTATCGCAATCATTATCATATCATCACCGCCATCATCATCGTCATCATCATCGTCATCATCATCGTCATCATCATCGTCATCATCATCGTCATCATCATCGTCATCATCATCATCATCATCGTCGTCATCATCGTCATCATCATCATCGTCATCATCGTCATCATATCATGACCCTTCTCTCCTTTATACTTGACCTGTCTCTCCTTTATACTTGACCTGAACACCATCCTCTATATACTTTCACTGGCGACTAAACGTCCTTCTAAGTATCCTCCTACAAGCTTCTCTGATACTAGAAATTCTAGTACACATAATGATTGGACTAATAGACGAGTTCAGGTATATACTCATAGTAGCTAAATCCCAGGAAATGCCAATAGCTAGAATATTTAGATTAACCATTGTACTGACAACCATGTATGGCAAATAGCAGAGAAACAGGGACACGACAATCATGAGTATCGTATGAAGAGTTTGTTTGAACTTTTTGATATCAACGAGCAATTGCGCCTTTTGAAATGTTAGCTTTGAATTGTCTGTTCGTTGGATGTTAGCTTCACGTTGAGCATCTAGCTTTTCTTTCTGTTCGTTGACGTTCCCTTCATCGTTTCTGTTCGTCTCTCCAAGCGTTGTTTTTTTCTCACGTTTCGTTTCAATTTCAACTTCTTCAATAACACTTTCAATATCCTTGTTTACGAGGATGTATTTCAGGTTTGAAGGGGCGGGAGTATGTTGAGTTTTCCCGCCCAAAGTCGATGACGTCGTCGACCTTCGCTTTCTAGAATCATTTATCGGGTTCTGGATAGACATRTGACATTGTAAACACTCCTCTTCGCTTTTTATTGCCTTGTTATCGCCTTCTTCAAGCTCCAAGTCATCAAATATTGTGTTGCTAAGCTCTAACTCTTCGTCTTCTTCGTAACCCATCCATTCAAGTTGTCCAATGCTGTTATCGTCCTCATATGAGTCACGTGTCTCAAACTGCCCAATGGCGTTTATCGTTCCACAGTCACGTGACTTGGCGAGTTTCTTCCGTTCGTCACGCTCTTGGCCGAACGACTCGATAGGTCTTTTTATTCCCTTTCTTCCTTTATTCACTCGTAAACTTTCTTGACGAGTGTTGGATGTCTGTCTTGGTTTTGATTTTTTCACAGACGTTGAAGCCATAATTTCGTTCTGATGTCGTGTTATCGCAGCACCACATAACAAATAACAATCAATGATCACAACCAAACAGAAAAATGTCACGCAACACACTAGTATCAAGAACGGGGTTTTCCCTAAGATGCCGATCAGCGTGACTCCTAAACCGGCGCACACCCATAAAATAACGACTGTCACGCAAGCTTTCTTTTTCGTCACTACTGTCTTGTACTTGAGTTTCATTTGGAGCGAGAGATACCGATCGTAACTGATACTAGTAATAGTGTACAACGAAACAGGGCAAAGGAAATAGCTCATCACTACTAACACCTTCCAATTACTGCAAAAAACACTATATTCCCCAAGTTCCCGCGTTATCAGGTATACGACCACCATGGGGCCAATCACAAGGCCGACTAAAAAGTCAGTCAAGGCGAGGTTGCAGAGTAGAATGAAAGTCGGAGTTTGAAGTTTTGGGGTTGATATGATTGATGCCATGACTAGGAAGTTCAAGACGCTTGCTGTAATAGCGAATAGAATGTTAAAAGTACATAACGCAATCGTTGCACTGGGATGAACGGCACGGTCAAAGATCAAGCTGTACTGGGGTGTTAGAGCACACGTGAAGGTTGGGTCGACTTCTGATGAAGAAGTGTTGAAGTCTGCCATTGTAAGACAATGTAGAAGTAACTTTCAATATCAATCTGGAAAATATATGCCGAAAAAAACTCATGTAGATTCATAATTGGTTGAACTAAATTAAATAGGTGTAAACGCTTGTGGTGTAAATGTGGTTTTTACTATCTTACTATTTTAAATATCTATATCTATATCTATATCTATATCTATATC